TGTCCGAATGCGTTACTCTTTCCTCCTAGTTGTAGGACTTCCACTCAGCCAGCGTTCCTGTGGGTCTGGGTGATGTCCCTTCCGTCTTTTAGTTTCACTTTTGAAATGGTTGTTCGAGGCGGCAAACTCCGGCGTTAACCTATGCCGCCATCTTGGTTCTCTACATATTATTTTTTGTTTATTTTCATAATGTACACAAAATTTTAATATACTGGCACATTTATATCATACACATACATGCAAACACATACATATTGAGATCCATACTTAAAACTTAACTTTTTCTTAATCCTTACCTGAGGATATGTTTATGATTTTAGAGAGAGGAAGGAGAAGAGAGAGAGAGAGAGAGAGAGAGAGAGAGAGAGAGCGAGACATCAATTGGTTGCCTCCTGTATGCACCCCGACCGGGAATCAAACCCACAACCTACTAGTAGGTATGTGCCCTGACTTGGAATCGAAACTGCAACCTTTTGGTGTACAAGACAATGCTCTAACCACCTGAGCCACCTGGCCAGGGTCATGTTTAAAACATTTTAGTGAATGATGTACAATCAATGTATAGAGGCGATTGCACAAACCAAGTCCTTCCCCATTCAACCTTATTAGCACCCTTAAGTTTCTAGCTTTTACTAGATCTAGGAGACCGCTGACCACAGGACTGAGTTTTGTTAGGTGTCAGAAACACAAGTAATTGATAATAAGAAATATTTGAGGGCTTCTCCCAACATAGGGAAAAGGATGGATGTAACATGTATCAAATACCTACTAGGAACAAGGTATGTGTTTCATTGGCTTGTTTTCATTTAGGAGCACAGAAGCTGAAGGATGCATTATCACCTGTGGGCTGAGACTAGGCATTTGTCTTAGGACAGCCAAGGAACTATTCAGAGAGTATGATTCAACAAGCACACATTGAACCTGGGGGCTAGAGATAGTGTCAATTTGTAACCAGACCCTATCCTAGAGAAGAAACTCACTGTCCTATCTCACTCACTATCCTTGAGAAACTTATTCTAGTACCAGAATGTTCCAGAATGTACCTGACTATCTTTCCCTCAAAGGAATTTCTGTTTCCTGCTATGCTAAATATTTTAAATATTCTTCTCTTCCTTCTACACAAATACACTTCTTCCATCTTGGCCTTTCCTTTACAGTAGTAGGTCCTCGGGTTACGTCTGAGGTCCATTCCTATGGCATAACATTACGCCATTTTTGCCGTAAGTTGGAACCCACCTACATAGGCACCTACATCACTCACATGGAGCGCATACACAGCAGTAGTGAAGTGAAACAGTAAAAAAAAAATTAAAAGAAAGATAACAATTCCTGACCTTTACTTGTGGTAAATAAATAACAAAAAATATAAAGCACATATGTACATACGTCAAAATGACGGAACTTTTTTTATAAATAAATGGGAGATGGCGATGTAACCACGAAACAATGTACGTCGAGTCTGACGTAACCCGAGGACTGCCTGTATTTCTTATCCTGCTCCTTCTCATTGTGGGCCAAACTGGGAATCCTAAAAATGATAACAGAGGCACATATATTTGTAGCCACATTGCTCCTTTTCTTTGCTTTTAGTGAAAGTTGACCCCATGTCCATGTCTCCACTGGAAGTCCCAAGTGACAGTGAGGAAAGTGCAAATGAGAGTGGATCCTTGGCCTTCCAGGGACTGCAGCAAGAGTGAGTACTTTTGTCTTTACTTCAAGTCCCTTTCTATGTATATATGTGTGTCTGTGGTAGAAATGGAGAAAATTCTCAGACATAATAGTAAGAATTTGGGGACAACAAAATATAGGAAAACCTTTCCCAGCAAAGGTATGAGTTTGTGTGCATATGTGTGCATAGACATGCATATTGTGGCAGAGTTAGGTTCTAATTGTAGATCATCAATTTTACCCTTGAAAAATCTGCAGATTTCCTGTAAAGTACAGTTGCTTAGGGTTTCTTTCTGTATGTTTAAAGCAGCCTTGTTATCCAGTGTTGGGACTAATAAAGTAGTTGGCTTGTGTTTTTAGCAACCATGTTGTATGAAAAATGTATTTCTTTAAACACAAGTATGAGACTTGTTAGAGTGAGGTGCTCATACTCTTTGGGAGCAGAAACCACCCAAGGAAACATTGCCACCTCCTGGAACCTGCATGTACTGAGCAGAATGGGCTAGTTGAGGGAATTGCTTGTACTGTATTACTTCTTCTTTTAAGGGTCTAGTAATAAATTTGCCTGTATGAAGTGGTCCCACTGTATGTATGTCCATTTATTTAGACTTCACGTTAAAATCATTCTTTAGCCCTATTTCTCTTTTTGTGCTCAGACCAGCAGCCATGACCCCAATGCAGGGAGAAGAGGCCCTTGACTTGAAAAGAAGACGGATTCACCAATGTGACTTTGCAGGATGCAGCAAAGTATACACCAAAAGCTCTCACCTGAAAGCCCACCGCAGAATCCATACAGGTCTGTCCACCTTCCCCCCACCCCAACACACACACACACACACCCCGTACACAGTCTCTGAGACTGATCCATTTATACTCGTGGATCAGGTTCCATTCATGGCTTTTACTCTTATACCTTGTTCCTACTCTAAGGTAGCTTTTATAAAACCAGCCTATGACTACACTTAGCCTGGTGTCTTCTGAATGGCCATCATCCCCAATTGATCACCTGTAGGTCTCTTTTTTTAAATTAATCTTCATCTGAGGATTAATTTAAAAAATCCATTGATTTTTTTAAGAAAGAATGCAAGGGAGAGGGATAGACAGAGAGAGAAACATCTATGTGAGAAAGACAACTTCAGCAATTAGTTCAGTATGTGGCCAATTTTGTTCCTTCTACACCCCTACCAACTCCCCCATCCCACACTATTATTTTGAAGCAAATTTCAGATATCATATTATCTTTGTCATAAATACTTAAGCATATATCTTTAAAAGGCAAAGGACATTTAAAAATAAGCTGAAGGGAGTGGCAGGAGATATTTAAAGTGCTCAAAGAAAGGAATCTAAAAATTCCTTAATATCAGATTTCCCCAGTTGTTTAATAAATGCTTTTTAAAAGTTTGTTCAAATCAGTATTTTTTAAAAGGTTCTTACATTAGATGACATAGTTAATGAGTAGGAGCCAACTATGCCAAAAGTTTAAGGAAAGTGTTGTTCTTATCTAGGCAGAGTACAAAAACTGGGAGATGGGAATAAGTTTGTCTTGTTCTACTAACGGAAGCCCAGCATTTGCTAGGGCATATTAAATGCAGCGGTTGGTGGTGGAAGCATGGAGTTGCAAGAGTAGAAGGGGGCCCAGCCAGAGTGGCTCAGTGGTTGAGCATTTACCAGCAGCATGCCCCTACTGGAGACCAAGCCCACAACCCTGTCATATGCCCTGACCAGGAATCAAACTGTGACTTTCTGGTTTATAGGTCGACCTTCAACCACTGAACCACACTGGCCGGGCTTTGTTGAAAGATTTTTGATTACTGACTCAATCTCCTTATTTGTTGATGGCCTGTTTAGGCTTTCTACTTTTTTTGAGCCAGTTTTGGTAGGTTGTATGTTTCTAGGAATTTATCCATTTCTTCTAAGTTACGTAGTCTGTGGGCATATAATAATTGTTCATAATTGTCCCTTATAATACTTTTTATATCTGAGGCATCCATTGTAATGTCTCTTCTCTGTTTTATGATTCTTAGAATTAGTGAGATGATCACATTACTATGTTGTACATCTGAAACTAATATAATACTGTATGTTAACTATAATTAAATAGCTGTAAAACAAAGAAAATAAAAAATTTATTATAAGATAAGATATCATGATTTTTAAAACATTCAATTGACATAGAAAAGTAAAAAGAGAAAGTCCTTTTCCCACAGTTTTTCTCCTCACTTTCCAGATATTCACTTACTGTTAATGAAGTATCTCATAATTTGCATTTAAGTATATCGATATTGCGCCTTTATTCTGCGTATTTCAACATGTACTGTGTGATCTACACACCCTAATAGGATCCTCTTGTGTTAATGTATTTCCTATTACTTTTTTCTCTTAGCTTTTTATCCAGAGCATACATATTCCATATATAACCCAGATGCAACCTGCGGATACTGAGCATGAACTATTTCAAAAAATTTGACTTAATGCTTCTCCTCATCCCACTCCATGCACTTTAATTTCTGAGCTGACACAGAAGAAGGCCTGTGGACTGAGCTGAGGGCTCCTTCTAGTGAATCACATTTTCTTTCTGTGGATCTGTCTCTACTTTAGAGTATTTGCTGGGAGGTATTAGAGTAGAGGATATGGCTGCTACAGCATGGTACAGGGTCAAGTGTCAAAGACCTCAGTTTGGAACCCAGGTTTATCATTTACTAGCTGTGGTCAGAAAAGAAGATATGTCAAACAGCCCTGTGAGATATTTTCTTCACCTTTAGAGATGATTAAACAGAGCCCCGGCCAGAGAGAAGTTACTTATTTCAGGTCACACAGCTGGTATGTAGGAGAGCCAGGATTCAAGCAAAGGCCTGTTGGAGCCAGCGCCTGCCACCTTAGCTTCTCTTTAGCGCTTCTGTAAGGTTGAAGGAGAGCCTGTCTTCAAAGTGATTGCCTCACCTTTTGACCAAAGCCTTGATAAAAGCTTATGGCCTGTTATCTTTTCAGTGTCCAAGCATCGCTGACTCCCCTTGTTTTTTCCTATTCCCCTTTTAGGAGAGAAGCCTTATAAATGCACCTGGGATGGCTGCTCCTGGAAGTTTGCTCGCTCAGATGAGCTCACTCGCCATTTCCGCAAGCACACAGGCATCAAGCCCTTCCGGTGCACAGACTGCAACCGGAGCTTTTCTCGCTCTGACCACCTGTCCCTGCACCGCCGGCGCCATGACACCATGTGAGCTCCACAGTCCTCACTAGAAGAGCTGCGCTAGTCTCATTCCTGTGTGTGTGCTGAAGTCATGACCATCTTTTCCTCTTTGACTTCAGCTTGCCTCTGGGATGGGACTGGAGTAGCTCACTGAGCCAGGTTGATGAGACTGGAGGAAAAGATAGCTTATTTCCCATGGTGGCTCCTCATATTCCATCTTCACATCTTCGTATAGGTTGAATAAAAAGTGTGGCACCCATGGTCACAGATGGGACACTTTTCTACAATAACAAAACAGGAATCCAACTCAAGGCTGTGAACAAACATATGCTGCTTTTTTCCTGTTTTTCCCTCCTTTTGTTCTAGAATTCTTATCCATATTTTTGAAAAATCAGTACTTAAAAGTGGTTGGTAGTGTTTTAAAATGACTTTTTTTTTCAAGTTCCTAGAGAGAAGAGGGCATAACAGTGTAGCTTATTGGTAGCATGGATTGGCATCCTGAGTATAGGACACATTCTCAGTGAATATACTGAGTCCCATACAAAACTCAAAGGTTTTGTAAATGCAATCCTATTTGTCCTTACAGTTTGGTTTTCACACAGTGCGGGCACTTCTGCTTCTTAAGTCCATTGAAGGGAATGAAGTGATCTTGTCCATCTCCTTCTCCTTCCTTCTCTTCCTCCTTCAACGTTAAGGATTTTACAGCACAGTCACCTTCTTTTTGGGTTAAATATTAGTTAGGACAAATATTTGAAGCGCACATTGACATGCCGGTAGGATGAAAAATGTTTCAGGAAGAGTATGTTGGACCATGACAGGAAGAAGCAGAACCACAATAATCCTGAAAACAAATAGAGAGGGACTTTCACTTGGATATGACGCTAAAAGTGCTGTAATCACAAACCTCATTCATATGGCAGCCTGTTGAGACAGTGTCTTGAGGGGCTGTACTGTACTGTTTATTCTTTTGTTTACATAAAGCAACTATTATGAGTGTAATGCATGATGAGAAATCATACACTGGGGCCATGTCATAGAAAGGTGAGGGGTTGTAAGAAAAATATTTGTTCATTCCATGGCATTATTAGCATGCATTCCTGTGTTTCATTTGGAATAGGAGGCTTTTAGTGAAAACTGAGATACAGAAAGTAATTCGATGTTCTGCAACTGCTACAAGCACCTATGGCATTTCTTTTAGCCATTATAGCATATTGCATAATATAGACATTTGGTTACCAAATCTGACTATTTCATAATAGTCTCTGAGACATAAAACCCTGTGTTCCAGGCTCTGGACCTCAGATCTACCTCCACATGTCATATTTCCTCTCTTCAGGGGGAGGGGGAGTTTGTATCACTTAACTTTGGACTCAGCCTCTCTCCTAAAGGTTCATATGGAACCCCTTTTCCTTGGCAGATATTCAACCAGTCCCTGCTTACATATTTTAGGTTACTACCTCCCAAGGTTTGTCCATTCTGAATACATCATAGAATTCTAGCACCAATGAGGGATCCTATTAGCCATGTAGTCCTATCCAGCATTCATATTTTACAGATGAGACAAATACGGGTCAGATTCTTTCCACAGATGTTCCTTGAGGCCTTATAGACCTGCACACTCATTCTCCTAGGGGTCACATTGTTAAACCAGATTAGAGAAAAATTTACATGATTGGTTGCAGTATTTGTCCAATTTCATATGTTATGCTTCAGAAAACTTTAGAACACTCAGTTGATTAGATAATAAGTAAAGTGTGCCTGTGGTATGGGCATATAACATTAGGTACACAATATTTCTCTTCTAACACTTTCTGTAATATCTCAGAATTGATTTACCTCATTTAAACATATAATGTCCAGATCATAAACCTTTATAAATTCAAGGCCTGCCTGTATTATTCAAAATGACACATGGATTTTTACTCTTCTCATTGTTATTTTGAAACAGACTTTCCCCTGACTTTTGGTGTGTAAGTTCCATACTATAGACTGAAAGGGAACGTTTATGTAGCGCTAAGATTGTTAAAGGTGACTTACCATCATACATATTGGCTTAAGCTTATAATTGAGTAGATGATACAGTGTTTCACAGTAGAGTCCAAGGACCCATTTTCTCCAGGGTTTGGATCCTGAGATTCCCTTTTCCAGAGTTCATAACTGTCTTACACCCCCGGACCTCAGGATCTTTTGCACTGGAGCATATAACCTGTTTATAAATAAAGGCTATCAAACATCTATTGTACTAACTATGATGATCACATTAAAATTTCTAATATTGCTATCTCTGCCACCCCTAAACCTTTATTCAATTTTTCCCTGCAAAGCAATGAGGGATTTTGTTACTGCTTTATTAATAGCCCCTCCAAATAACAATAAAATCATTCCAATCATTATATATTCTTTAAGAGATGTGTCAACATTTATTAAGAGTATTTCATACCATACAGGGATTCAAATACAGTACAATACAGTACTGCACCAAAAGCACATAGAATTTTGTTAAGTAGACAGATGAAAAGGAATGGTAGCTCTTTTTAAAAAATATGTTTTTATTTATTTTTAGAGAGGGAGGAAGAGAGAGAGAGAAAGATAGATAGAAACATGCATCAGCTGCCTCCTGCAAACCCCCTACTGGGGATTGAGCCTGCAACCCAGGCATGTGCCCTGATGGAATTGAACTGCGACCTCCTGGTGTGTGGGACAATGCTCAATCCACTGGGCCACACCGGCTGGGCAGGAACTGTAGCTCTTAAGTAGCCTTGTTCGCTGGGACTGAACAATATCCTGGGATTTGTTGCAGTGGAGTTCTACCATCTGTAGGTAATTGTCAGTTGAACATAACTATTGATGATTATAATTGGAAAATTCTGGAAAAACTGAAGAATGTGAATTGGTTAGTTAGATTAGGTGGAAAGAATTGTGGACAAGACAGAAAGATTTGTGAGGGTAACTTCTTTTTAAATAAAATATTTATTTTTAGGACAGTTGCAAATTTACAGAAAAATTGTGAAGATTCTACAGAGTTTCCCTATACCCTACATCCAGTTTATTAACATCTTTCCTTAGTATGGCACATTTGTTAGAATTAATGAAGTAATATTGATGCTTTATTAACTAAAGTCCAAACTTTATTCAAATTTCCTAAATTTTTACCTAATATCCTTTTTTTGTTGTTGTTGTTACAGCATCCCATTCAAGATACCATGTCACATTTAGTGGTCATATCTTCTTGGGCTTTTCTTGAATGTGGCATTTTTTCAGATTTTTGTTTCCTATTGACCTTGACACTTTTGAGTAGTATGTCCCTCAATTGAGATTTGTCTGATATTTTTCTTATGATTAAACTGAGGTTAAAATTAGGAAGACCATAGAGGTAACCGGCTCTTTTCATCACATCAAATTCACATGATTTAATCTTTGATGTTAACCTGGACTGCCTGGCTGACATTGTGTTTGTCAGCTTCCTCCTTTGTACTTTCCCCCACATTCCATACTGTACTCTTTGCAAGAAAGTCACCATGCAGCCCACACTTACGGAGAGCGGAGTTGTGCACCACGTCCTTGAATGTGAGTATCTATACAAAAAAAATTATTTGGAATTCTGCATGGGAGATTTGACTCTTCTCCCTCATTTATTTATATAATAGGTTTACTTGTATCAGTATGGACTCACATTTACTTTATACTTGGGGTTATAAGCCAATAAAATTTTATTTTGTATGCTCAAATTGTTCCAGCTTTGGCCATTGGATGCTCTTTTGGGTTAACTCCCTAGTCCTTTTGACATACCCCTGTCATTTTCTTTTTAAGCATATATTTATTTGTTGGCACTACAAGATGCTCCAGGCTCATCTTGTATATTTTTGGCCCACTCCTATAATCAACCATTTCTTTAAGGAGCCCCGATTCCTTTTAATGGATAACTGTATTAGAAACCAAGATCTAGGGTTAGGTATGCTTATGGCTACTGGAGTATTGTTGCTTCTAGGCCATCTCAGCTGACAGAACAAGCAAATATATGTATGTACACTAACTCATGTATATATACACATATCTACAAAGATTTCTATATGTAATCTTCCATATCTTTATTAAGCTAAACGTGAGTTCATACTGATGTTGCCAACAGCAGCCCATCACCAAATGTATCATTCTAGCCTTTTCCCTTTGCTTATTTGTAACCTCCCACTCAAACAGTAAAAAGCCTGTCTCCCTCACTCTGACATCTATTTGCTCAATTGTGCAATTCTAGTATAAATATATAGCAGTATCTGAATTGTTAATCTGTACACTGTGGATAACAACTGGAACACAGTGCTTATATGTATGATAGTAACATCTTTTCAAACTCCAACAACTTTTCGAAACAAAGTGATCTGCAAAATTTAGGAATTAGGGATTTCTATGTTCTTGGTTCCAAGGATTTGAGAATCTATTCTGCCCCCCAAAAGTTTCTTCAATAACCAAACCATTAGGGATTGAGCCAATCTTCAATAAGCCTAGGGAAATTATTGATTCCCCCATAGTGTGCCAATATCTACACAGAGAGATGGACCCAGAAGAAAGTAGGTGTGCCCAATTAAAAGTAAAATATAACACTATCCTTTCTCACTGGCAGATATGGCTCTCTGACATTAAGGGTGCTACCCTAAGTTACCTCTCCCGTATTTTCCCATCTCTCACTTGGTTGACCTTAGGCAAGTCACATCACCTCTCTGTGCCTCAGTTAACCCATCTGTAAAATGGGAATCTAAATATCTACCTCACAGGAATGTTGTGAGGATTCTTATTAATGGATGTTGGCAACAATAATGGGAGATGCCTAAATGAATAAAAAGTATTATGATCATCACTCTGATGATAATTCTAATAACATATTTTCCCTAGAAAATGGAGAGGATTCGGCTTTCTGGGTGATATAGAGCTAAATTTGAGTCAGTAATAAGGATAATTGAAGAGTGGTCACTGGAAGCAATATTATTTCCTATTCTACTTTCACTTTTCCTACATTCTCCTTGTTATTAACTATAGAATTCTGATCTGTTTCCAGACTCAAAGCATATTAGAGCCTAAAAGGATAGGTAGGCAAAATCTATTGCTACAAATGCTGTATTCCCCTTTCTTCACTCTGCCTGGACCACATTACATGTCATCCTGTCAGAAGCACAAAGGCAATTTCCCAGAGCCCTTCAGACACTGGTTCAACTTCACCAGTTACATTTCTCTCTTTCCCCACTTACTGTACCCTGAACAGTATAGGTAGGAGGGAAGTGAGGTGGATGTTTGGGGTGGGAGTGGAATGGAAGAGGATGCAATTTATACCAATGGCAGGATAATTCTCACTCTGGTTTCACCTTCCATTTCCTTTTCTGATGGTGGATTGAGGGCTGAGGGAGAGAGATTATTTTGTTAACTGT